GCGGCGCCTCCGCTGCGGCTGACCCTCAGCGCCTGCGCCCTTGGCCCCCCCTCGCGGCGTCGGCGCGGCCTCTGGCTCTACCTGCGGGGTCGGCGTCGCCTTGGCCTGGGCCTCCGCCTTGGCCGCGCCTCTGGCCGCGCCTCTGCCTCTGGCCTTGGCCTTGGCCTTGCCTCGGCCGAGACCGCGACCGCGACTGCGGCCGCGGGTCGCCCTCCTCTTCTTCGAGCCCCCCGCCAGCTCCAAGTCCTCGCGAGGATTCAGGCGAGGAGGGCGATGAAGGGAAGTCAGGGGGATGCGAGGGAGGAAGGGAGGGGAATGAAGGAGGGCAGGAGGAGTAGGAGCAGGACGAGACAGGGCGAGAAGGAAGATGGGGGACGTGGACGAGGAGGAGGAGGATCAGGAGCAGGTGGAGCAGGAGGGGCCAGGGGGAAGAGGAACGGCAAGAAGATGAGCAAGAATATGATTTTACAATTGAATCAGCAGGACGTCCGTCCGTCCACAATCCACAGGTCTCCTTCCGCCTGCGAGCATAACGTGCCAAATTGTTTCGGCCCGCCCCGAACCACGACGGGGAAGGAGAGGGCGCTCCGCCAGCGGCGCTGCCGAGGGCGCCGCCCCCAGCGGGGCCGAAAGATCTGCGGCGCGCTGCGGCGCAGCCGCAGCGCGGCCGGCCGATCGCACCGCGGAACCCACGATCCGCCATCGCAATCCTCCACGGAGGGAAGCCACGCATGCGAGCCGAACGGGCTGCTCAGGAGGAGAAGGGCGACGGCGGAGAGGCAGGCGAGGAGGGGGAAGGGGGAAGGAGGGCCGAGGAGGAAAGGCAAGGATGAAAAACGCGAGGGCGGGGGAGGACGAGGGCGGATAGGGGGCTAAGGGGAGGGGTGAAAGGGGGGGGGGGGGCGAGGAAGAGGAGGGGGAGGTGGCGGCGGCGGTGGGGGGGGGGGGCGTTTTCGGCGCGCGAAGAAAGGCGGGGTCCTCTGCCAGATCCAAGATCTGGGGCGTCGGGCTCGGAGTCGGACTCGGCGACAATTCCAACGTCAACGAACGCGGACCTCGGCGTGGTCGGCCGGTCGATCTCCGTCGGGCTCGACGCCAACACCTCGATGGGCGTCGGGGGGCACTGCGGCGACGCCCAGCTGGTCGGCGAAAGATCACGCGTCGGAGTGTGCCTTTCGGTCGGCGAGGGAAGCTGCGAACGAAAGTCAACAAGCCACTCCTCGTCGGCCAGCCCCTGGGGCGCACGAGGCTGAGGTTCCTCATGCACGGGCTGCCGCGCCTCTGATTCGAATTCGGACTGGTCCAGGATCGACGAATGGGTGGGCGAGCTACTGGGCAGCTCCCACCTGACCGTCGCCGAAGTGAATGTGGGCGACCACGAGCGGGGGGGGGAGCAGTCCTCCTCCTCCGCGGCGGACGCGCCGCGCGATGTCGCCCTGGGCGCCGTCGAAAGACCGGGCCGCACGCCTGTCTCCGCATCCTGCGCTGGCCAAGGCAAGGGCGAACGCGGCGCTGGCCAAGGCAAGGGCTCTCGGCACGGCGGCGGAGTCTCGCTCCGCGAGCGCCAAGGCAAGGGCTCTCGGCACGGCGGCGGAGTCTCGCTCCGCGAGCCTGAGGCGCCTCGCCGAAAGTACCACGCCATGCCACAGCGAGGGGGCGCCGCGGCGCGATGGGCAGCGGGCCCCGACGTCGGATGGAGCCAAGATGGTTGCCGAAAGAAAACAGCGATATCCAGCGGCGCCGCTGGCCGCTGGCACAGCCGATCGGCTCGGGCCGCGGCGACGACGACGGCCGCGGCAGCGACGACGGCAGCAGCTTCGACGGCGGCGGCGGCTTGAACGCGCGACGCGCAGGCCGCGGTTACCTTCGCGCCCTCGCAAGGCGCGAAGCCACCTTGGAGAAAGGCAGCTCCCCAGCCCCGGCAGCGGAGACAGAGGTCGAAGCGAAGCTTGAAGCGCGACTATCCCGGCGCTCCTGGAGGGGACCTAGTAGTTACCAACTTAGATGCAGAACCCCGCTCCTCATCTGACAGCTGCAACTCCAAGGCCGCGGACCCCGACTCCGACTCCTCGCAGTCGCTGTCGGTGCTGCTGCTGCTCGAACGCTGCCCCGCGCCCTCGACCTCTGCCTCGCAGGCGGACCTGGACGGGGATTTGACTGTGCCCGGGCCCCCTGCGCTGCCAGGCTCGCCCATCGGCACCGCGCGGGGCGCCCTCGCTGGAGAACTCCCCCTCGAAGAAAACCTGACCTCCAAGCTGGGCCAGAATGGCTTGGGGCATCTTCGACGAAGAGCGCGCCATCCCTCTCTCTCTCTCTCTCTCTCTCTCTCTCTCGCTCTATCTCTCTCGTTCTCTGTATCTATCTCTCTCTCATTTTGTGTTCTCTCTCTCTCTCTCTCACTCTCTCTCTCTCACTCTCTCTCTCTCTCATTCTTTCGTTCTATAGTTCTCTCTCCCTATCTCTCTATCTCTTTTTTTTCTCTCTCTCTCTCTCTCTCTCTCTCTCTCTCTCTCTCTCTCTCTCTCTCTCTCTCTCTCTCTCTCTCTCTCTCTCTCTCTCTCTCTCTCGACATCGTCACCCGGGGACTGGCCCTGACCAAAACGATCGATGACAACCAGAGAACAGGGGGTGCACCTGTGGCTGGGCAGAAGTGCCCTCCTCCTCCTCCTCCTCCTCCTCCTCTCCTCCTCCCTCTCCTCCTCTCCTCCTCCTCCTCCTCCCCCTCCTCCTCCCTCCCTCCTCCTCCTCCTCCTCCTCCTCCTCCCCTCCCCCTCCTCCATCTCCCCCCCCCCCCTCTTCCTCCTCCTCCTCCTCCCCCTCCTGCTCCTTCCCCTCCTCCTCCTTCTCCTCCTCCTCGTCCCCCGCCTGCCTCGTCTCCCCCAGGGGCACCCATCGAAAACCAGATCGCATGTTCAAGGGCCCCTCGGGACATTTGTCGGGCGGCCCAGATCCCCGCGCCGCATTGGCACGCGCTGAATTCATTCAAGCTTCTGCAGTGGATTCGGCCAAACCCCATGGACTGGAAAACTGGAAAAAACAGCACGTTCAAGACGCGCGCGCAGAAAGATCCCGAGCTCCATGCCCCACAAGGGCCACAGGCGGCCACGTATTTCAAGCTCAGCCAAGGGTGGCGCACCGCGCCCACGGGGCCCACAGACGCACTCAAACGCTAGCTGCACAAGGATTCAAGGGCCCATCAGCGACGGTCGGCGTCAACCCGCCCGCTCGAGGCCCGTTGACTTAACTCAGGGCTCGCGCGCCCTTATGCCCCTGGTTCTCCCCCCACGACCCCCCAGGACTCACGCCGCCCCCCCCCCCCCTCTTGAAACGACTTGCGCCACGACTTGCGCCATCGTGGGGGGGGGGGGGGGCGCGGGGCCCGCGAAGGGAGGGCGGGGGGGGGCGGCAAAAGGGGTGGAAAGGGTGAGGAAAAGGACGAGCGTGAAAGGAAGAAGGCGCATCGAATCTTCGGAGCCCCGCTCCGCGTTGTCAAGGCACCAACGCTGGCTCGAACAGAGGCGGCACGTCCCCGTCATTGGGCTCGCGCTCGGCATCAAACCACAAAGATGATCCTACCTGAGCGCGAGCCCTGGCCCTGGCCCCGTTGCGAACTTCAAGGTCGCCTGGGCCAACGAGGACGAACACTTTGTGATCGTCTCGCGTGTGGGCGGCTGGCAAGCCGCCCCCGTGCTCCAGGAAAGCCCAGAGCTTCCCCACTGGGCGCCCCTGGCCAAAAAGCTTCGTGCCTCGCTTCGCCCAGGGCGGGGGGGGGCGGCAAGTCCTGCTGAGCGTTAGCTGGCACAGCTCACAGACAGCTCGCATGTCCTGCGAGCCGTCCTTGTTGAGCGACAGACGAATGTAGCCGCATGGGCCAGGGAGGCGCGGGTAGCCGTCAGGGCCGACTCGCCTCTCCGCCTCGGCGGGGGCCGCTGCAGGGGCCGCCGGCTCGGGCGCGGGCCCCCCCTCCTCCGGCGGGGCCGCTGGCGCGGGCGCGGGCGCCTCCTCCAGCGGCGGGGCTGCTGGCTCGGGCGCGGGCGTCTCCTCCGGCGGCGGCGGGGCCGCTGGCTCGGCCGCGGGCGCCTCCTCCAGCGGCGGCGGGGCCGCTGGCTCGGCCGCAGGCGCCAGCGGCTCGCCGAAGATCACGGAATCGCTATCCAACTGGGCCTCCTCCACCAAGATGATCCCACCCTCGCATTCGGAGTCGGGGCCGTCCGCCGACGCCCCGTCCACGTGGCCGACGCCGTCGGCGCCGACGCCAGCCGCATGAGCGCCGCCGTCAGCGCCAGGGTCGGGCGGCGGCGCCGGCGCGGCCTCCAGACTCCGCCAAGGATCGAAACAGCTTGGACGCGGGGGAAGGGGGAGAGGACGGACGTTGAAGAGGAAAGGGGGATGGGAGAAGGAGGACGAAGACGACGACGAAGAGCCGTAGTTGGCCTGAGGCAAAAGTTGAGAGGGGCGACGAGGGCGACCAGAGATTGAAGGAGGGGGGGGGAACGAGGGGGTAGAAGATGATGGCGATGAGGAGGATGAGAAGGCAAAAGAGGAGGGGGGAGGAGAAAGGGGGCGATTCGGAAGATGAGAAGGCCATGCCTCTGCAGCGGCGATCGCGTCGAGCAAATCGGCGCCGCCGCCCGCGCCGCCGGGGGGGCCGCCGCCTGCGCCGCCGGCAGGGCCGCCGCCGCCAGCCGCTGGCGGCGCGCCGCAACCTTGGGGCGCAGAGGCGGCGATGCAAGAAAGAGGTCCCGATCCTCCGCCTTGCCCACCTCTGTCTCCTCCTCCTCCTTCTCCTCCTCCTCTCCCGATCCTCCTCGCCCCTCTTCCTCCTCCTCCACCCTCCTACTCAGTCCTACTCCTCCTCCTCCTCCTTCTCCTCCTCCTCCTCCTCCTCCTCCTTCCTCCCCCTCCTCCCCCTCCTCCTCCTCCTCCTCCTCCTGCTCCTCCTCCTGCTCCTCCTCTCCCATTTCCCCCCCTCCCCCTGCTCCGATTCGCCCAGCCGCCACCTAAATCGCAGTACTTGCGGTCCACGATGCGAACGCGAGTCGGGCTGTACTCAACGTTCTCTGTGACGAACATCACCATGTGAGCATTGGCGTCGGCGCCTCCAGCAATTGCCAACGCCCGAGCAGCACGGTAACTCGTGTGGAACGCGAGCTCGCCTCTCTGAGTGTCGACTTGGATGTACTTCGGACCGTGGACGTCGCCATCCCCCTCTTCATCAGAATCAGCATCGACGAAACTGCATCTCGCAAAGACCAGCAAGGGCGGCATCCGATAACGGCGAAGGCCCAAGCACAAGGGCGGCGAGGAGTACCTGTCAGTGTGGAAGCTCACGAAGCACCCCATGTCAACAGATGCACCCAGCTCCGCATGTATTGACCTGGCCAAGCGCATCGCCCACGCAAAATGGGGGGCGTCGTCCCTTCGGCAAAGTCCTGGATGCTCCTCCCAGCACGGCAGCTTCACTCTCAGAGCGGGGGCCAAGCGAGGGTCCGCATCGACGCACATGTCGCAACGGATCTCACCCCTCCGTTTCTCGCCCAGGAGGCCCAAGCCGCCTCTCCACTCTTCGATCCCGAACTTCTGCGCCAAAACCTCCAGGTGCGCCTGGAACTTCGCGGCGTCGACTGGCCAGAACTCGTCGCCGAAATCAAATGGGAGAAGCCGCCGCGAGAGCTGCTCGACGCCGTAGTCCTCGACGCGGGAGCCGCTTCGCGAGCAGCGGGCCTCTCGGACGATATCCAGCAAGTCAGCCTCGCCGTTGTCGAGATGCTGGTCTGCAGCGCCCTCGTTCTCCAAGCGGTCATGCAACTGGTGGAAGTCATCGCGTTGAGCCACAGACATGCCGCGATACTCCGCCATCCACTGTGCTCGGGCAGCTCGCTCCTGACGGCGGCCCCATGATTGGCCACCTCTGGCCATCCGAGCTAAGCGGGACTTGGCCGACACATAAGCCCAACATCTGTTACCCCGTGGTCGAACCCCTCCAAGACGAGACTTCCTTTTTGCAATCGTGACCACCACGCGCCTGCCAGTGCGACTACGTCTCCGGCGAGCTGTGGAGGAAGTCTGCAGACCGAAGCGTCTCTTCGCAAATGCGGCATCTGCTTTCGGCTTGCTATAATCCACTCTGCCTCGAAAGACATGAGATCTCATCAAGGTCCGCATCGTGCACCGATGGACTGCCCCTTCAATGTTCCGCTTTTTATTGTGGCCCGCATATATAGAGTTTTTGTTCGCGGCGTGGCTGCCCTCCACGTGGGCGACCGAGACCCTGCCCAGGTTCATCCAGGATGTCAAACAGCCCCTCAGCGCCTGGCTGGCCAACGCCGCCTGAGCGGTGCCGTACTTGCGACGTACTTTGAGCGAGAACCCAATGTCCAAGCAGCATTCGCCCACGGAGAACAAGCGATCGGCAACAGCGGCAGGCGCATCTATAGAACCACGGCGGGCAGGGCGCGGGTGAACGGTCTTGATCAACTGGAACGGGAACTGCTTCAAGTAAAAGTCAACTCTCCAATGCACAGCCGACGATAACTCAATTACGCAAGTCCTGCAATCCCCCATGTGTCTACGCATGCTAGCAGCGTCCAAAACGAAATATTCCGACACGAGCGAAAAGGCCATGCCGCTGGTGAGGGTCTGCACGAACTCGCGCTGGCACTTCCGAACGGGACTGATGTTTGTCGGCGACGACAAATCTGCGAGCACCCGACCGTTCCCATCACGCCGGATGATGTCCACGATCAGGTCGTCCAAGGGCTTGGAGCTCAAGGCAAGCAGGAGAGTGTACGTCACCTTCTCTTGGTCAGCAAGATACTTGGTGACGCGGTGGACTTTCCTGCTCATCTGTTGAGCGAAAGACTCCTCGCCCCCCTCTGGGATGTGATCCACGGCGTTCTCCCTGCTGAACGCGAGCGCCCATGCACGTCGAAAGATGTCGTGCGGCACGAGCGCCATGCCGAGCCATGAGCAGAAGGGCCCCAGAACAGACCACCTTCCATCTCGCTCGTCGTCGTCATCGCTGGCGGTCGGCGCTGACGACGGCCGTCATCGACGGTCGTTGAAGACGACCGTCGTCGTCGTCACTCGTAGTCGAGTCGACGTCTTCGCTCGCCCTATTCGTCGCTCGGCGTCGTCGACGTCGATCGTCGCAGGCGATCGCTCGCAATCATCGTCGTCGCTCGCCGTCGTTGTCGCCGTCGTCTGGTCGTCAACCGCGGATCGAAAGTCGCCGCGATCGTCGACCGTCGAAGCGGGCGAAGGGAGGGGTGAGCTGGGAGGGGGGGCCACCTGGAGAAGCCCGTGCACGTTGGCATCATGGTGATGAAGAGCCAGTACAGCAGCTCAATGAGATACGAGATCGCCCTCTCTCGCGATCTGCCACACCTGCAGCCTGCAACGCAATAGTGGATGATGTCGCCCTTGCCCCACGGCGCCTGCGGCGGACGCTGCCGTCGCCGTCGGGGCCAAAGGGAGAAGGAAGGAGGAAGGAAAACGGCGCCTGGAGGTGGTCGAACAACATGCTCGCCCTCTCTGTGACGCGCTGGTCCTTCGCGCCCTCAAACGGGCTCGAGAACTCCTTGCGAAGCGCGCGCTGCAAGAGGAGGCAATCGAGCAAACGCCGATCTGCGGCGCGGTGAGCCTCGGCTTCGCCTGGCGGAGCCACGCCCAACCTGAAGTCCAACGACTGGCACACAGTTGCGATGGCTCTCTTGAAAGTGTCAACCCGGCCTGATATCCGCAGCACGGACCCCAGTGCGCTGTAATCTGGGATCAGATGGCGCCGGTCCAGAATGACGATGACACCTCCAGCCCCCAGACCCCCAAGAACGTGGAGTTCGATGAGGGAGGTGGCGAGGACCTTGAAGAGGTGGGATGGGCGAGTTGGAGTTGGAGAGTCTGCGGAAGTCCCCCCCTGGCCCCACCTCGGAAGAGCTGGTGGACTAAACAGCGATTGCCCCAGCAGCACGTGGAAACACCAGAAGTGAGAACGCCATACAGTATAGACTTGCGGTTGCCCGAAGCGCTGTCAGCGCAGTCCACGACCAAAACCAACTCCTGCCACTCCTGTTCCTCCTCCTTCCTCTGCTTTCCCGCCCGTCCTTCTGCTTTCTCTGTTGCCGGCCTCCCTTCCACCTCCTCCTTCCTCCTCCCGACTCCTCCCCCTCCGTCCGTCCGAACGTCGGTCCTTGCCGAGGGCCTCCAAAGCTTCGAAGCTGAGCAGGCCGGACAAGGCGCTCTGGACAGCGCGGAAGATGTGGCCGGCGGTCTTCCCAAGAAGTACCACGGGTGGAATCACCAATTCGGCGCCCTCGCCTGCGGCGAGGCTGCAACGGGGGGATTCGCCCTCCCCCTCCAAAGAGAGAAGAACAACTTCCCCCTCGACTCCATTAATCCTCTGACCCAGTCGGGGATGGAGGAAGAGGAAGGAGGAAGGAATGAAGGAGGGGGAAAGGAGGAGGATCACAATGAGGAGGAAGAGAAACACCACCACGATGAGGAGGATCACGACGAGGAGGAGCCCCCATACGCAGTCGGGGGAATGGTTTTACAAACGCACGCGCCAAACGCACCCAAAAACAAATATCCTCTCGATCGGGTTCCCGCTGGCGAGTGCGAAATCATGGTGGCCCCCGCCCCCTGTCCTCCTCTCCCTCTCCTGTTCCTCCCCCGATCGCCTGGATCACATTCTACGACGCACATGTGGCTGAATATGTCAACGACGCCGTGTTGCGAGGACTGGCCAACACGTAAAATATCCTGGTAATCGCACAACGTGCGTCCCCTGAAACGGTGGCGAAGACGATGGGGAATAATGTACTTTGCGAAAGGCCGTATCTGCTCTGATAGCTGTCCAAAACACATGTGGACTGGTGTGTCGTCGTAGGCCCGCTCGACGAAACAATACCCAGATGATGAATCTGACAGGAGCCGCGTCGCCTTCTCTTGCTGTTGCTGCAGGAAACACGAGGCCGCCAGAGACCGCAAGCCAACGACGCGGGTCGAATACGAGTCACCGTGTTGTGCGAAAGCCGTTTTCAGAGCACCGTGCAGCGTGAACTGACGCGGGTGCCGCGCTGCAGCACCTTCATCAACAACCACCTGGTCGCCGAAGTTCGTCTGCGCTGCGTTCCAGGAGTGCTGCAGCGGGCGCACGAATGCCCGCGCCTCGGAAACCTCGGACTTCGCTGCCTTCAGCTGCTTCTGCAGCCGAGCCCGCTTGCAGATCTCCTCTCGGCGCTGGACGGCCCTCAGGCGATCGGCAACGCCGCTCGGCGGCCCTGCAACGTCAGCAACGGCGCTCCCCGAAACGGTCGCCCAGCGAGACTCGCGAGCCGCTCGGTCGGCAGCGAGGGCCGCAGCCACGCTCGCAGACCTGGCTGGGGCAGGGCCAGCGCGGTCCTCGCTTGGTATCCCGAGGCCCAGGAGCACATCAAGTGGGTCCATCCAAGCCCGCGAACGCCGGCGGGCAAGCAGAATTCGAGCCCAAAGCGGCGATGCCACGGGGGCCAGCGCAAAAGAGAGGGGGGGAATAGATCAAGATGAACCCCATCTGCCGATGAGCCTTAATCCTGAACCATACCCGACTCGTCGTTAACTTTCAAATCAAGGGAACTACTCGCATTGCTACCATCGGGGTGACCATCGACACAACCATCGGGACAACCATCGGGGCAACCACCTCGGCCGACAAGATTCAGTCGCAAAGGTGCGCAACATTATGCCTTACCCCTCTTCCGTGACCACCTTCCCCTGTCTCCTGTTCCTGTGGCCCATCCCTGCCCCCTTCTCTGCCCCCATTGCCCTGCCCCCATGCCCCCTTCCCTGGCCCCCTCCCTAATGCCCTCTCCTCCCTGACCCCCTCCCCCCTGACACCCTCCTCCCTGACCCCCTCCCCTGCCCCCCCTCCCCGACCCCCTCCCCTGACCCCCTCCTCCCTGACCCCCTTCCCTGCCCCCCCTCCCTGACCCCTTTCCCTGACCCCTTTCCCTGACCCCCTTCCCTTCCCCCTTTCCCTGCCCCTCATCCTGCCCCCAAAACAGCCCGATGATAGAGATGCCACAAACGCAACCCTTCAGGAGGCATCAAGCCACGTATGGGGCCGTCGTCGTTGTCCGTGTCGGGCGAGCTACCGTCGCCGGGGCTGAAGCCGCCGGCGTCGGTGTCGGCGTCACTGTCGTCCGTGCTAGCTTGGTCAGGGTTGAAGGCGGTGATGTCGCAGTGGAGCTGTGCATCGTCGGGAGTGGTAGGCGTGCGGAGATACGCCGTGGGCGAGCAGTCGGCAGCCCGTGCGTATATGGCCGCCTTTCGCCCGCTTGGCTCGCGGACGCCCTCAGACCAGATCTTGATGCGTTCAGCTTTGGCTCGGTTTGCACGTCGCGCCAGCTCCGAGTCTAGATTTTGGATCAGACGATCGAGCTGCTCTCCGCGTGGCGCTGGCACGTCGGGGGTCCAGGCGTCAGGAAAAGCCAGGAGGGCCGTGGGGCGCAGCTTGTGGCAGAGAAGGCGGGCCGCGGCCCACGTGCAGTCGATGCGTTGCGCCAGGTGCGGCGGGATAGCACGGCAGTCTATATGATGGTGCAGTCCGATGAAGCGAAGCTCGCAAAGTTGCCGATGGAGCTTGCGAAGGCGGTTCATGTGAATCGTGGAAGCTCCGTAGGTGGGAAAGGCGCGGGGGACGGCGGGTCGCTCCTCGAACGTGGGTGTGAGCCCGTGCATGGTAGGGGCCTTCTTTTTTGGGTGGTCTGGCGGTGGGGGCGGCAGGTCCCGCAGCCGGGTGAGATGGTACTCATGGCTGGCCTCGTTTGCCAGGGCGAACATGCGTTCCACATCGTCGCGTGCGTCAGCCTGCTCCATGCGGTCGTGGTATCGTCCGGCGATGTGGGTCCCTAGTGCCTGGAGTTCGTGGTCCTCATGAGCTCCGTCGTTTGGAGGGTATGGCGTGGGGGCCAAAAGGCGTGGGGCCGTGTGATCGAGGCGGCTTAGGTCGAGTGTGACCTGCAGGCCAACATGGGACTTCGCTGGCAAGTCACGCAGATAGCAGAAGTCGGTGACAAGGGATCGCGCAGCTTGGTTGGCGATGACATAGTCGATGCGCGAAGTGCGGGGGCACTTGGTGACGCGGTCCCAGTCAGGGATATTGCCATATGTGTGCATGGTGTGGTCTGGTGTGCCTTCAGCGACGTTGGACCATCCGTGCTGCATCATGTGCAGCAGGTGTGGATTGTCGTCGATGTTCGTGTTGGCGTCCATACAAATGAAATACGGGGCTGAGCCGACCCTCGCGGCGGCGCAATCAGCAAGCCGAAATATATCGGTGCTGTCCCCTCCAGCGACCCCGTAGAGGCTCGCAATGTAGATCCCAGCGGGACCGTGGTTGTTTCGTCGCCGCCTGCGGCGGTGCTGGGTGCAGAGCGGGAGGAAGACCTCGTGCCATCGTTTCTTGGCCTTGAGGGTGGCGATACAGGTCGCAATGTCGTCGACGGTGGAGTCGACGATGGCGTCCTTAGAGAGGATGGCAACCCCGCCCGAGGCGCCGGTGTTGCCCTCGACCGTGTGGTCCGTGCCACCGTGAGCAGCTTTGCGCTGGGCACGCGCCAGGTCCAGGTCAGGTCCCAGACTGGCCTGGTATCCTCCGTGGTGTGGATTGGCGGCGTTGGTGGCGATGGCTTGCCTGGTAGTCTTGGCATGACGGGTCTCCTGCAGCGCTATGACTGCGGCGTTGTGGTCGACACCTAGGGCGGTAATGGTTGGCCAGTTCGCTGGAAGACTCGTGATGTTGAGGCTGACAGCTGGAACAGCTTGTTCGTGTGCGCCCTCCGCGCTCGCCTCGGGCGGTGGGCCCTGTGGCTGCGGCGGCGCACGCCCTGCCAGCGCGTCAGCCACTAGCTGGGCGTGGCGAGCGGCGCGGTCGGTGGCCTGGCGCTGAGCCTCGTCCATGCCCGCTGCCGTGAGGCTCGCGTTGCGGACAGGGCTGACTCCACGCGGGGCCGCCGCTGCCGCGGCAGCGGCAGAGGTGGCGGGGGCGCCGCCGTGGCTCTGAGGAGACAGCGGTGAGCCGCCGCCGAAGCCCGCCGCGAGGTCCTTGACGGAGTACTTGTGCTTGAAGGGGTCGAAGGTCGGCGCCTCGTCGGGGGCGACGACGCGGGTGGGCGGTGGCAGCTCCTGGTCCGTGGACGGCGTCGGCTCGAGGTCGACCTCGTTAGGGTCTTTGGCGCCGGCACCGAAACGTGGCACCACCTCGGGGGCTTGGGCGTCAGCCTGAGTCTCGCGGGGCGGCGAGCTCGTGGAACTCCCAGGGGGCTTGCGCGAGCGGTGGCGGCTGCTGGGCCGGCTGCGCGGGACGCGCCCGCCCGTGTGGCGGTCACGTGGCGAGGCCGCCTGGGCGTTGGCGCGCGCAGAGTCCGCCCTGCTCGGGGAGCGGATCGGCGCTGCGCTGGGTGCTGGGCTGGGCGGGCGGGAGCCGCCTGTGCCGCCCGCCGCCGAGGCTGCAGCCTGGTCAGGGTCGGCGGCGTCAGGCCGGGGGCTGACGCGGTGGGCACTACCCTCGCTGTGCCGCGGGGAGGCGCTGTGGTGTGCCTGGGTGTGCGTGAGGACGAGCGGGACGAGCGGCTGCCGCTCGCGCTCAGGGGGGGCGGGCTTTGCCTGGGCAGGGCGCTGCGCTGCGGCCACGTTTGGCGGGGGCGTGTGTTGGCGCGGTTGCCAGGCGCGCACGTTCGCCTCGCGCCATCCTGCGGGGCGCCCTGTCCTGCCGCGGCTTGGCGCAGCCCCCTGGGCTGAAGCCGCAGGGGGTGCCGCTGCGGACTGGTTGCTGGCGGTGCTGTCGTGGCGGCCTGGGTAATGGCCCCAGGCACGCGTGGACCCTGGCGCGGGCGAGGTGGCCCGTGGGGGAGCCTGCGCGAGTGCGCGCGGGTAGCCGACGACCGCTGGGTGCACCCTGGCGTGGGGGACGTGGCCGTAGCTGGAGGCGGCTGCCCCTGCCGCCGCGGGCCTGGCACCAATGGGGCCACGGTGGTAGGCGGCGCCCCCGCCGTACACCGCTCTGTCGCCTGTCGGGACGCGCGCGGGAGAGCGGTTGCGTGGCGTGCTCGGCTGACCTGCGTCGCGTTGGTCGCGCTGCTGGGTGCGCTGCTGGTGCTGCTGGTAGCGCTGCTGGTCGGCTCTCGAGAGCGGGCGGGTGTCGGGGAGGATGGGCGGCACGTCGGGCCGCCGCCAGCCCTGGTAGACGTGCTCGAAGGCATGGTCTGGGTAAGTCTCCCCGTCAGGTGAGTAGCGCCGTACATGCTCCACGAAGTCAATGTTCTGCGGCTCGGGGAGCACCGTGATGTTCACAGCCCGCTGGTGCGCTGGTCCATAGAGACAGAAGCTACCACGGTTGCTGCGGTCGTGGTTCAACTCGGCTTCGGTCGTGGCACGACTCACCATGGCGTCACAGAGGCGCATGTCGTAGTCGAGAGCTTGAGGCCCAGGGCCGCCCTCGGCATCCCAGTACAGTACCACATCCCGCCAGCGCGTGCGGGTAGTGTGGATGCGCTCGGCGATAGACTCGCAGACGGTCCTGACTGTGACACGATCCCTGTACATGTTGGTGATGGCTAGGGAGTAAGGTCGGCGCACCGCTTTGTTGAAGATGAAATCCTCCTTGAGGGCCTGGTGCGGGCCGAAGAGCACGTAGCCTTCCTTCCACAGCGGTTGGTCGGGAGACGGGTCTTCAGGCATCCCCGTCCCTGTGAACCCTGGTGGCCGCCTCGTGCCGTCGGGCAATCCCTGCTTGGGGACGCGACGCGGCCTCGGTGGTAGATACCATTGGCCCTGGTATCCTGCTTGGCCTGGTTGCGGAGGCTCCCCCCCGGGGCCTGAAGGCGCTCGGGGGGGCTCCATGAGGTCGTGCTGGGCTGGCGCGTTGCCGTATTGGCGGGCGAGGATGTGCGGAGGCATCCCTGTGGCACGGACGTCGAACAGGCTGTGCGGACGAGGCGGATGCGGGCATCTGCTGGAGAGGCAGCATGTGTCGGCGGCCCTGTCGTCGGTGCTGTACACGCACGTCCAGCTGTTGCAAGAGTAGTCCGTGGACCAGTCCATAGGTGCACGCAGTCCGCTGAGGGAGCAGTCCGGGCACGTCGGTTGGCCCGAGGTGCCGAGCTGCGTGTTGCGGCGGGCAGCACAATACTGGCAGCATTGGAATCGGCACTGTAGGCAAATCCAGCGTCCTGGTAGGGGCGGGAACGCTTGCTCGTCGGTGACTGCGTCGTCTGGGCGGGGTCGGGGTCGATCCCACAAAGGCCAGACGTCGGCGAACCAGGACTGGCCTGTAGTGCGGACCGCCTCCGCGGGGAGGCGAGCGTCGTCAGCATGGCGCTGGATCCACTGGGGCCC